AATCAAACGATTCTGTTAGACGGGAACATTTTTAAAAATTAGATTGCAAAGTAGGGTTTTTATAGCACAAACTATTGGATGTTGACCTTTCGTTTAAAATGTACTCTTTGTTCTCACATTGGTGACTGCATGATGTTTTTGTGAGTTTTTGTTTTCGTGTCTTTATGATATAAAGCACTTTGAACTGCCTTGTTGCTGAAATGTACGACACAAATAAACTAGATTGACTGATTACAGGCATAATGCTGTAAAAACCGACCGTCCCACACTGACTTCTTACACTTCAACATGGTAACAAACAGAACTGGATTAACAGACAAACCAGCAGAACGGCATCTTTGATCTAAAATAACCCACTTACTGTTGGGTTTCACCCATGTTTAATGGTTTAAAACGGCCATTAATGTCACTAATGGGGCAATTTTAGATGAATTTGCAATTCTACCCTACCCTACAAACTGTTGACTCACATCTGGTTACCTGTCAGTTAAACCACACCTTCACAGAATGCCTGTTTTCAAAAGCAGCGTTTAATCCCACAACCCATAAATCAGATTTAACACGAAACCAGATTTTCCAGTCTTATGTACACAATGTCTGACTCCATGATTTGTTTGAGTTGGCACTAAAAGTATAGATCACTCCCCCTTTGCTGCACCTTCACAAGCTAAAAACATGGGTGTTCATAACTGTCAAACTTTTTTAGCTTAGCATTAAAAAAAATCCTCAGTGGAGTATTTGGAAGGTCTTTCTATTCCCTATCACTATTTTCTCAACAGGCCAACAATAATAAACCTGTTGTAAGAAACATAAACCTGCCGCTAAGCAGCCTGGAAATTAGTCCCAACTCCCACATTTTTAGTATTTCAGGTTTTATTTGTGCCAATTTAAAAACTCAGGCAATTTATTCAACTCTCGGAGATACGACCAAATTAATAAAAAGTTAATACAACTCACTGCTTTAAGTTTATCGTTTACAAAGTCTAACTGGAGCTCAAGATCTAAAGCCCTCCAGATTTATTTGACTCAAAGAACGAAATGCGGCTCAAATGTTTTACAGCGTCTTCTTGGAGCTCTCAAATAAACCTAAAAGTAATGGACGTTTTTTGTACTCATTTCGTCTGTTTAAGATGAGAAAACTCAAAAGAATAGTTCTGTGGAAAACAATGTGAAAACATTGTTTTTGTTAATTAACATTTTCCATGTTTTGTTTTAGTAATTTGTATTAGTGGAATATAATCTCTTTTTGGGTTTTATTTTTACATTTATTTTTGTTATTGGGTTAGGGAGTTGTTTATTACTGCTGCTGTGTATCGCAATTATTTTAAAAAGTAATAATAAAAATGAAACAAAGCCATTCAGCTTCTCCCCAGAGTGCGAGTAAAAATCCATGAGCATTCGGTTTCCTTCACTCTCGTCTAATTAAAGTGGTTTGTTGAAACGCTGACAGCATAACACGCTACAGGAGCCTACAAGGACATTTTACATGTATTTTGGAAGCAAATAAAAAAAATGTGTTTACCAAACATTTCCTCTGAATAAGCAGCTGTCTGCCACAAAAAAAATTAGATTCAAGCTTTGATTGGATGCTTCAGCCTTAAAAATCTCAGTTTCACCAGTTTAAAACTATCTACTAAAACAAAGCTCAGCTAAAAGGAAGTCGCTTGTATTGTTTATATTATTTTACATTAAAAACTCATACTCCAGGGACTGATGGGCTACATCGGTTTGAGTTAATTAAACTGTCAAAACAGAGCATCGTTGCCAATGTATGAGTCGTCTGAGCGTTGCATCAAAATATTGGTTACAAGGCAATTCATCCCATAGACGGAGGAAGTGATGCAAATTCAAGCCTCTGGAAAACCTAAAATATCATCATGCAGAATATTTCTCAGGAAAATTGCTCGTATATGTACTTCTGTCATAATATGTACACTCATCATAGGGAATAGTGATATGTAGTTTTTTTGCTTTTAAAGATGAATTTTAATCTTTCTTTTTCGACAACGGAAAGATACATCCAACAACTTTACGAGTTATTTTTTTTAAAACAAAAACTGTTCACAGAAGTTTAATATCTGTGATTTAATATCTAATCCAAAACAAGGTTAATATCACACACAGACCTCAAACATATACAAACATATACATTCACTAGCACTGATGAAAGTTGGAAATATCTCACTTTTTAAAATGCAGACATAAATGTACTGAATTACAAATTTATCTGATAACTCTGCACCAGTACAGCACACTGAAATACACCAGTAGCTTCACAAGTTTGGTCAAACATGTAAAAACAACTTTAATCTGTTCAGTCTGTGCAATTAGGAGTAAAACAACCAATGGAAAATAAATGATAAAGAAACTGAAACAATAAGATCTACTACTTTGTTCAAACATGTAAAAATAAACTGCAGCAAACCTTCCAGATGGTTCAGAAAGTGCAGTTAGGAATTCCAAATATGCTGTAAAATAAATAATTAAGCATGACGTCGCTCAGAGCACAAAGCATAGAATTAGACTGAATAGATCTGCCTTTGTGGCACATTGTTACTGGTACCTGATCTAGAATCTTTTTCAATATCAGAACAGATACATATATAATTATCGGATCGATGCGGAAGGGTGTACGTAGTTAGTTTGTCACACAGTGTTTCCAGTTTGGCTCTTCTTTATGGGTTATAGATTCTGGTAAAGCACAGAACATATTTATTATGTCCAGATGTGCACATTCAGTCTCATGACGGTGAACAAATGAAAGAGCAACTATTCCTGGTGTTGACCAAGAACAAGACTTGGAGCAAAATGTTGTAAAATGTTGATCTGCGTTGTAGATTGAGGGAGATTCTGCTGTTGTGTTTGTGTTGATGCGTGTTCCCTCTGCTGTGACTCTGCTCTGGAGTTGATGAACCCGACCCAGACTGACTTCTTGAGTCATTAAATGCAGCCTGATTGGTTGTTACTGCAGCAGCTTTACTTTGGAGGGGGGGGGGCTGTAAAAAACATCACATCCAGTAGGCCGCCTCAGAAGCGGCCTCAGGGGTTAAGTCGGGTGCTGAAATGAGTCACTCCTGTTGGCCAGCGTGCTTTCACACCATTTAATCAAACACTCTGATTGCTGCACTGCTCTGACTTTTATGACTGTACTCTAAACTACTGCAGAGTCCTCTGTGCTGCTAGTGGTGCAGACGGAGATATTCCTAACCTGGCTAAAGTGAAGCAGCAACTACACTGGGGTTACAGTGATCTGTGGTAATTCTGCGGATAATTAGACGCTCCATGAAGAGGTGAACTCATAAAGACAGAGTATTGAGGAAAACATGGCTGAAACATACCAACGCTTGCAGAGCCACTAAAGACAGTTACAAAGTAACTTCCAGACCTCTGAGTTCTTCTGGTTCTGGTCCGCATCCCCAGAACCAGAACCAAACATGAAGGAGCAGCATTCAGCTTCTATGCACCACAAATCTGGAACAAACTGCCAGAAAACTGCAAAACAGCTGAAACACTGAGCTCCTTTAAGTCCACACTAATAACCCAGTTGTTTAGAGTTGCTTTTGAACCATAATAAATGGAGTATCGACCAACATATTTGATGTGTAATAATGATTTTGATGATGGCACTCATCAAAATGTAACATTTGTTGGTGGTTTTCTCAGTTGGTGTCCTATATGACGCTGTACTTTTGTCTTTTTATGATGTAAAGCACTTTAAACTGCTTTGTTGCTGAAACGTCCAATACAAATAAACTTTACTGACTTGATAAAGCAAGACTTCAGTGGGGAACACATACAGAATCTATATGGGATGTTGTTCTTTTGGTCGTTTGTAATGGAAAATTTTATGATGTGCTCCTCACCCCTTGTGTGCTTTAGGTTGTGTCTGATGATCTCATCATGAGATTGGTCAAGCTGCTCTCCTATAGACTTCAACAGTGCCATATAACAGCAGGAGAGCTTCTTAATCCTGGAGACTAAGTGTTACTTCCCCAACCCAGAACTTATCTGCCCTCTTTAGCATGAAAGAACAACCCCCTATCCTTAACAACAGACAAATGGCCAGACCATCTGGGTTGGGCTCCACAGAATCCCTGATGCATAACAATCAGGGACTCACACCTATTGTCCAATCAAATCTCTCTTCTCTGACCAGAACCTGTAAAAGGAAGCCAGATCCACTGCAGGTCAGAGCAGACTTGACAGACTCCTTTGACTCTGTATCTCTGTTCTCACCTTGCAAGGTTTTAATAAATTTCTTATTTCTTCTCATCCAGACCCTTGCTAAAGTAATTTTTTCCACGGCACGTTACGCAGAGCTAGTCACCGTAGATGAGCATAGGAACGTAGACCAACAGAGTCAGGACAAACTGGTAAGGCCTCTGTACTGCAGGTTGTTTGAAAATCATATTACTTAAAAAAAAAAAGAAAAAAAAGGAAAAAAAAGGGCTACTAGCATCTTTAGTACAGCATTTAACTGGTTCTACAAAGGCTATTGCAGTCTGAGCTCGGGGTCATTTTTGGGGTTTATTCTCTAATAAAAAGAGTGGTGGGTCTCCAAAATGTCATTAATTGTAGATAATCGTATTTAATGTTAAATTAAATTTTTTACATGCAAATTTTATTTAAAATTTCATTTGTGGAAATGGAATTTCAACAACTGCCTCTCGGTTTATTTTTCCTGTCTGTCAAAGTTTTCACCTTTGACCGAAACATTATCTAATCTATGACTGTAGTGGTTCAGTATTGCAAATTATGTACATAGGTCACACATGTGTGTGTGTGCGTGTCCTGGAACAACCCTAACATTTGTAAAGATAAAGGCCAAATTCCTCAGATTAAAACAAGCCACACCCTAAAAAACATTTATTACCAGCTCATTTGTTCTCCTATTTGTCCGCAGAATTCAAACAGGCTGTACTGTCTCTAAGGATTTTTCTGCTCTACTGTTATCTAAGATTAAAAAAAAGCAACAAAAAAAGCACACAAGTCCATACACGAAAGGGGCGTGTTTGTTTGAATAAGGTTTGTACAAAAACTGAAAGTGCTCCGACTTCATTCTCAGGCAATCCGGTCTCCTGTGAGGTTCAAAGGCCAGAAATAATGTACACCATAGTTCTGCTGGTGGGCTTTCTCATAGCTGCGTACATTTTCCATGAGACGGCGGTGAAGGGGAAGAGTTGCACCAGCAAAGCAAAGTTGCATGGCAAAACTGTGATAGTGACTGGTGGGTAAAGATTTAGTATAGATGGTGTTTCTATTTCTTTTCTTTTTTGTCAATGTCCTTTCATTATTTTCCACATGCAGGCAGCAACACTGGCATAGGGAAGACCACGGCCATAGAGCTGGCTAAAAGAGGAGCCAGAGTGATCCTGGCCTGTCGCAGCAAGCAGAGAGGAGAAGCTGCTCTGCAGGACGTCAAGAGGGTGAGAGTCTGCTGGTCATGTCTTTGTTTCTCACCCAAATAAAGACAGTATGACACCTGTACTACTGAGGATTGTGTTCTGTCTCATATTATAGTGAATAAGATTGTATGCTTTATTTATTTGGTAATCTACATTTCACAGACATAGACCTATAGTTTAATAGTTGACTGATCAGTGTTCAATGTCTGTTTCAG